TGTTTCGTGTCCTCCTGAAACTTTCACTTTCTGAGCAGGAGTAAACAGTAGGGGAGAGGGAGCTGTAGAGATAGTCCTGTAGGAGGAGTGATTGGGCCAGTCAGAACGAATACAACCAACGGGCAGCTGCTACTGCTATCCTATAAAGGCCAGTGATTTGCATTTACAGAAAACAATTTACGCAAAGATATATCTTTCACTAATGATTCAAGGTTGTTAGTGAGTTAACGCCTGTTTAAACTAAACATTAGGCCTGTTTATGAGCTGCTGTTTGGCTGCATCCTCAGTACTGGGAAACTTTAAAATGTTTCAAGTAACCTGCAAATTCATTTAGAAAAAGGGGGTTTTGAGCAGTCTGTAATGAACAAGTGTTTACAATGCAGATGTATGACTTCTAATGCTTACATCAACACTGTGTGTGTGTGTGTGTGTGTGTGTGTGTGTGTGTGTGTGTGTGTGTGTGTGTGTGTGTGTGTGTGTGTGTGTGTGTGTTGGGGGAGGGGTGCTGTTATTAATTAACAACTATGCCTAATTGAAGCTGCTCCCTTCCCATCACATTCCACTCTCCACAACTTTCCACACACTATCAGTGCTGATGCACAACTGCCCTTGGAGCTGCTGTTGTCGCATCATTGCTTAAGTTTGATGACCCTGAGGGGCTGTAACTCCCTCTGGGTCAGCGTGCAGATAAATGAGAAACTCTCTTGAAGCCTTTTATTTACACTCTCTTCCCGACTTACAGAGGTCCCTGATGCTCTTTCTGCCCCCCTTGTATTAGGCCAATATACCATCAGTCATTCATCACCATGACGTGGCACACATTTTGCGATTACGCCAGCAAAGCGTGACTGAAAGGCATGTTGGGATAGAAAGTGACCCTCCGCCCCATCTCCCCCCCACCACCACCACCACTTTTTTTTATTTCTATCTCTCACTCGTTCTTTTTCTCCAAAACATAGCCTAATTTATGCCAGGAGATTCTCTAATTGTGTCTTCAGGAAACAGCATAAAGTAGAAACTCCTCCCATCTGATCCAACTTTGTGTGAGTGTGTGTGTGTGTGAGTGTGTGTGTAGCATAGACTGTGTGCACGCGCGTGTGAGGTTGAAAAATTGTTTAACTTGAGGTCGACTGTTTAACTGAAGTGCTTTCCTCTTGTCAATGTGTGTGTGTAACTGCGTGTGCGCGTGTTTGTTCCCTTGTGTGTACGTGTGTGTGTGTGTGTGTGTGTGTGTGTGTGTGTGTGTGTGTGTGTTTGTGTGACACGCAGGGGGACAACAAAGGAAGAGGTCTTGCGCCCCGCCGCCCATTCATCCCTTTCTCTCCCGAGGTAATTCCCATTGATTCTTATTGAACGGCGAGTCGCGAGCCCCTCAGGGGAGAAACCGTGTGATTTGTGAAGGGTCGCGAGGACAAGACACGCCCCTCCGCGAGACCCGGCCATCTGCTCACCAAACACCACAACACAAACCAACTACCAAATGGCTTCCCCATCTCAATCACCCTATGAAGTTTCTTAATTTCTCCTTTTATATAAAAGTGTGCGTTCTCCACAATGCAGATCTGTGTTTCTCACATCTATCTGTCAGTCCTCATCTTCTTTCTCCTTTTCTCTCTCCCCATACAACCAATTTTCACTTTGAAAGCCTTTGTAGGTGAAGCTTCTGGTTGCTTGATGGGGCAAATCACAGTGAAGGCATCCAAGGGGTTTGGGCTGACCATATGGCCTGTGTGTTTGTGAGGCTGTGTTTGTGTGCGTGCGTGCCAAGAAATGGATGGATGGCCATCGTGGGAACCTCCACAATATTGCCATCACACCGACTACCCACACACATGATCACACATGGATACACACACACACCGTTGCACATAGCATTGCAGCATTTGGTGTGGTCAGTTATAGAAATCAAGGGTCTCCATTTGAGGCACAACAAATTGTAACTCCCGCTGTGCTATGTTCCCACATTAAGACAAGAAACCAAGCTGTAATTAGCCATGCTGACTGAGATATTTAATGTGTAACCCAGCTGAAAGGGTTTAAGAAAGAGACCAATATTCAACTAAACACATTTTTATTTAATTAGTCTGATTCACTGCATTTCCATCACACTATGATAAAATATAGATAGATAGATAGATAAATAGATAGAGAGAGAGAGAGAGAGAGATAGATACTGGTACATTCTCTGCATGAAGCTGGGGTGAGCTGATTTGTGAACGAAGCAGAACATTTTCAGGAACCAGCGAGTGAATATGTCGAGCTACATGTTGTAGATATTAAGCCAACAATTGTCAACAAGATTCTGTTGCTTTGTCTGACATTGTTCTTTTTACATCACTCCAGACAAACTCCCACTCCCATCCGCCAGGGATAGTCTTTCGATGTGTGAACAAGCAACTGAAGAAGATTTCAATGGCAGCCCTCTGGACTATTCAAGACATTTTCAGGAGTGCATCAGTAAAAAACACTTTACAGTACACCTGTGATTCAGTACATTTTTGATATTGTTTTAGACAAATGCTGCGTCTTTATCCTGCCTGGGCTATAATTATTTTTTTAAGAAGTAAGAAGTGAAAATCCATCTAGTTTCAATATTTGAACATCCTTCTCAAAATCTAGAGTTCAAACCTTAATTTCAACACTAGATAAAACATTACATTTATTTTATTACACACCTGCTTCTATATAGGATTTAATGTATGTTTATGTTATTAACAACAAATGATAATGAATTAATACATGCTTTTACCATCATAAATAAGAGGAATTAATATTTCCCAAATGTATATCCAATTGAATTATGTATAGGCCTATATGTTGTTTTGGGACTAAAAGACAGTGTTCCTCATGGCCTACACCATCCTTCAAAAGTGTGCCCCGGTCATCAACCATTATATAATATTTTGGTGTTTAGATAAGTGTTTTTTATTTTATTCTCATGAATTGTCACAGTTAAAGTATGGCTTCACCATGACATTCTATAGCTAATCTTTAATGAACTTTAAGCAAACAAATCACACTCTCCCTGCTCCATGAGATCCTGGCCTGTGGTTCCCCAGGGGTCCTGGGCATTAGGTTTGAGAACCAGTGGCCTCGAGCAGCAGGATTAGCCAGGCCAGCTGCCCACAGAGACCCCAGGCCCTGGACGCTGACACCAGGCCTGACCCCGGTGTGGCTACTATCAGGGACACTGAGGGGATTTGGTCAGCATTTGGTGTGTAGAAATGTGTGTGTGTATGCTGTTCATTCAGTTGGACAACTGTTGAGCCTGTACAGATTTGTGCAGCGGTGTTCTTTGTGTGTGTGTGTGTGTGTGTGTGTTGTGGTGTGTGTGTGTGTGTGTGTGTGTGTGTGTGCCTGCTTGTATGGTCAATTCTTTCCGGGGGTTAACTGCTGATCCAGTACAAATGGGAGGTGTTGGGGGGCAGGGCTGAGGGCAGTCGTGTGCTCCTGGAACATCTGCCTCTGTTTCTCCTGAGTCAAGCTTTGGTCAGGAGTGGGGTGAAGGGAGGAGGGATGCACCAGGGGGGAGAATCACTAAATGGGGAGGAGATTGAAGAGGAGAAGGAAGTTGACAAGATGAAAAGACAACACACTAAAACACACTGACTGGGGTTAGGATTATATATATATATATATATATATATATATATATATATATATATATATATGTGCAATTCAATTCATTCAGTGTTTGTTTGCTTTGTGGTATTTATATTTTCATGGGTGAGACAAACATGTTAAGTTTGAACAATCAGAAACTTTGTGTCTGGTCCTTTAGAAAAAGCATGTTTATACACCTTGTGAGCTGGATCAGATACCAGATATCATCTTGATCATTGATAAAAAGGTCATTTTATTTTTATAACTACTTCAAGGGTCAGAATACATACCCAGCATCTCTTCACATTATCAGTAAGCTATAACACGAAAACAAACTTCTTAAACATTAATTTACAATACAATACAGACCATATTTCTTAGAAAAAAATACATTTACAAGAAAACATTTTACAGTAAGCAATATTTTTCTATTCTTCCAACTCGACACAATTCCCAAATGCTAAAATATTTGTCCATTTTTTTTTCTTGCTAGGGCTCTGTTCGGTTTGTATTTATTATGTGTGATACATTGTGTGTTGTTATTTATATTCCCTGCAGGCCTTACAGCAATGGTTATGAACTTGCAAACTTAACTTTAGGAGGACCATGACAATAAGAGATGAAGCAGCAGATTCAACACCTGCACAGGTACAGAGCCACTTCATCTAACAACATCCTCCCAATGATGATCTACACGTTAAATTGAATTATGATCACAAAAGCCACATGTTTTTGGGAGTACTGAGACACAAACACTGGTCAAGTTTGCTCTAAGACTGATGTGGTCTTCATGAGTCCAGTGGTCATAACTACACTCAAGAAGGGGGTGGGGTGGGGTGGGGTGGGGGGCAGATTTACAACACAGCCCCTCCTAACTTGGAGATCAGTTGACTGGGAGGGGTGGATTGTCCTTTCAGCCCACAGAGCATCTGGCTGAGGAACGACAGATGCTGACAGCTGGACTGACACCCAGCATATGTCCCTTTTTTAGTCTTGCTCTACTCACACAATAGAGTGGAGGGGATGGGGGGGCCTTGTGTTTAGAAGGTAGACCTAATAGCTTCTGACTCTAGAATAGAGCCCCTATTCTCCAGGAGAGCAATTAGCCTGCCTCTGATCCTGGCCTGGGGAGTTATTATGAGAGGACTGAGCCCACAAAAACCTCAATGGTCTATTCTCAATCATTCAAAATCAAGACGTTTTTTTATAGAACTGTGCTCATCTAAATAAAAAGCCAAATATGTGACTTGGGGAGTAACTTGGGGAGTAATTTCACTCGGGTCCATAGAGTCTATTATTTTAGGATTAATCATCACAAGGAAAACATTTTTCCACTGACGCCTCAGTGAGCTCCTTGCGCCCAGCACGTGTGCCTTGTTTTGCAACGTGATGACGCCACGCGTAAGATCACGGGACGTAAATTGCATTGAACAGCATGTAAACAAAACCTGACAAGTGTTGCTGCGTATACAGAGAGTCTAAGGTAAGTTCGTGCTCTGTGAAACTATACCAGGGGCAAGCACATGTGCAGGTAGAAGTTGATACACGACGAGTTGGTTACGCCTGAATAAATGACTGTTTCGGCTAGAAGCTAAGCTAACTGTTAGCATCCAGGTCAGGAGATTTGAGTCAAATGACTCATCTCGTTTTGTATGTCGTCCTGCAGCGATGTATAACCTACACAGTCTCTTTTGATGCCAAAAATATGCGAAAGACTTTTCTATTTTATACAAATATCAGTAAACCATCAGGTAGCTTTTAGACATCTTTCTATCTCACATTGAAACAAAGTTCACAATGAATACACTCCCACTCTGTTTCTGTTTCTGTTTCTCTGTTTCTCGTTTTCTCTGTTTCTCTGTTTCTCATTTTCTCTGTTTCTGTTTTTCTGTTTCTCTGTAGAAATGGGTGTCAAAGGTCTTCAGTCGTTTATGGAGCGCTGCTGTCCAGGAGCCTGTGTGACGGTGAACCTCCAACAAATGGCCAGAAAACATGCTGACAAAATACAGCAGGGCTTCACAACCCCAGCTAACACATACAGTTGAGTTTATTTCAGTGTGCAGGAGTGAATACATCACAGAACAACTCTACTTGTTCACTTAAAGAAGGAGATGGAGTTATTATTACTGATGTTAGGATAGGATAAAACTTTATTGATCCCCAGAGGGGAAATTCGGGAGTTACAGCAGCACAGACAAGAAAGCTCAAAAATACACATTAAACAGAATAGATAAGATAAATAAAAATATAAATAAGGGGGTATCTACAATACAAAATGAATGATGAAGTTAACTATTTAGGGAATTTAGAATTGAGACAGTATTTACAGAGAATGACAAGATAAAGTGACAAGTGATTAAAGTGACTTGTTATGATAAATAGCAGCGAGTAATGTAAACATCAAGAGAGAGGCAGTGTTGTACCACAGTAATGCAGAGTGCAGTTATATAATATAACGTAGTATAATATAATATAGTGCAATATGAACAATATAGTGTAATATAATGAAATGTTATATAATATAGAATAGTATAGTAATATAATAAAATATATAGAATGTACAGTATATATGTATATATATATATTGATGCTAAATAATAATAATAACAATAATACAGTATAATAATGCAATAATACAAGGTTAGTAATGATAGTAATGAAGCAGGTCATGTGGGTAGTGTTTTATGGGGGTGAAGTTACCAAACTGTATGTCTTAACAGATGAACCTAAAGCAAAACACTGTGAAAGACAACAAACACTTACATAACACATGTTGTTATAAACATTTAGTTAGTTTAAAATGTGTGTATATATTCCATCTGACTCTTATTCGTGTAAATATTTCTTGGACCTATTATTGCTATCTTACTTACATTCCTATCCGATTAATATTTTTACAACTATATTTCTACTGCTATATTGTATATTTTGGAGAAACTGTAACAATCGAATTTCCCTCTGGGATTAATAAAGTATTTCTGATTCTGATATAGCTATTCAACTGCTCGCCTACTATAGTCATATATTTTTTAAATTCTTTATTAAGATAATGCAATCAGTGTGAAAGCACACATGTCTTCTGGTTGATGAGAACAACTATAAATGTACATTTTAACTCCCAAATATTTAACATCTTGACGTAGTAAAAAAAAACGTTTTCATAAGCGCAGATAACAGTGTAGGGAGATCAGTGAAATTATTCAGTTTCTCTTATATAACCTGGTGGTATAAGTAACAATGTGCATTTTGCTAGTCTTTACAGCATTCATGCAGACTTAGAGTCAGTGACACTGAAACTACAATAAGTGAAGGGCTGTAGGAACACAGACAAAGTAAAATGAATGATCGTCAAGGCTAATCGTTTGAATTAGTATTTTGGCGGGATTTAGTTAAAAACATGCTGATGATCTTCAAGCTTAAATCTTGGGTAAAAAAAGTAAACTAGACATATTTTGTGTATAATTTGTCTTTTATCAAAGTTTTTTTTTAGCATGCATTCTTTTTACATGTGTATTTTCACTCTCATTTAGGCCCAACACTTGTTGTGGATGGTATGGCATGCCTGCGCCACTGGTACTCGTGTAAGGACTGGGTGTGTGGAGGTCAGTGGAAGGAGTACATGGAGGTGCTTAAGAGCTGGGTGGAGGCCTTCACCTCAGCAGGAATACGACTGGTCTTCTTTTTTGATGGGGTGGTGGAAGAGCAGAAAAGAAAGCAGTGGGTGAGGAAGAGAATCATTTTGACTGTATTTTAGAACACACATTGTTGTCGTAATATGTTTCCAGTTAATATGCCTCTTTTTTTAGTTACAGTTTATTGGCTAGCACTTTTTTAAAACTTCAACATAGAGGTTAATAATTGTGTAGCACTTAAAATACCTAATCAACCTCCTGTACACATCACACTCTTGTGTCTGCAGGTGAAAAGGAGACGCAGAGTGAATGGAGAGATTTCAAAAATGTTTCGTCACCTGAAGGCCCATGGTGAGCAGCCTGGTAGAGAGCTCTTTTGTCTTCCTTCTGGTCTGGCTACTTTCACACGCTTTGCTCTCAGGTCAGCATCTACAAGGTGTATTGATATGCACGAGTCCTAATGTACATGACGTTACACTGCAGTATTACATTTAACAGTGAAGGGTTAAACGTTATATGAGGGTTCATCTAATATCCGATGGAGGCTCAGTAGTTGGTTTTATTCATTTTCTAATGTAAATTTTGAATTCTTTTTTACAGGTTATTGGGTCAGGAGGTGTTTTGCTCAGTGCGGGAAGCTGACTATGAGATTGCAAGCTATGCTCGTCAACATAAAAGTATGGGCATTCTGGGACAGGACTCAGACTTCATCATATACGACAGGTGTTCTTGAATTGGCAACCTTATTTATACTTTTGGACCTGTTATATGAGGGTTCATCTAATATCCGATGGAGGCTCAGTAGTTGGTTTTATTCATTTTCTAATGTAAATTTTGAATTCTTTTTTACAGGTTATTGGGTCAGGAGGTGTTTTGCTCAGTGCGGGAAGCTGACTATGAGATTGCAAGCTATGCTCGTCAACATAAAAGTATGGGCATTCTGGGACAGGACTCAGACTTCATCATATACGACAGGTGTTCTTGAATTGGCAACCTTATTTTATACTTTTGGACCTTTGCTGCACTACGGTTAATACTCGACCAAGCAAATAATAATTTGAAAGTCATGGAAAACGTGCATAAACTGACAGACTGAACATGTATTTATATCTTTTGAAGTGCCCCTTACTTCTCTGTGGCAAAGCTGCAGATTCGCAGCCTTACTACAGTCCTGTACAACCAAGAGAGGCTCTGTCAAACCGTTGGATTGGATGTTAACCAGCTACCACTGCTGGCCTGTCTCCTAGGTAACGATGTGGTGTCTGAGGAGAAGATGCAGCACATCAGGAACAATGCAATTTCAACTTACAGGTGTTTTGAGTTGACTTATGGTTGTTGTCTCTATTTTCTTGTTTTAATGTAGAAATATTAAATACAAATGTCCTATCCTCTTCAGGATAAATGTTGTTGACCAAGAATACTGGATGCATCCATTCATATAATATGATGTTACATAATGTCAGCAATGTCATTGTTTCCTAGGATTAACAACCCTGTATCACACTCTGGTGCTCCTCCGGGGCAAATGGTGCTAGCTGTATCCCACTTTGTGAGCTCGTTGTGGAGGAGAGAGGAGGAAGATGTTGGGCTTATCCTCCATTCCCTGAACCTGTCGGCTCCTCTCAGAGAACTGCTGCAGCGGGGAATTAGCTCATATATACTTTCTGGACAGGAAGCTCTTCAGCAGGGTTACATCTCTGCACCTTCCTCTGCCTTTGCATTTGAGAAACACGTTAGTCCAGAAATATTAAAGGTGCGCCCTGTATTTTATTCCCTTTTCTGATGTTTTGACAGCAACAAATCAATAAAAGTTTATATTTTGTTTTTCTTTCTGGGTTTCCCAAGGCCTGTAGGGAGAAGCATGTGGCAGCAGATGGTTTCATGGTTTATAGTATTGTGTGCGAGGGAGTCATTGAATGTAGCAACACTCTAGAGGATGAGGAGGACACTGAACTGTTGCCTCACGCCCTCGTCTACAAGCCCTGCAGACAACGCATCTATGGGCTGGTGCTGCTGCACGGGCATGATGGTAGGATGTAAAGATTTGTCCAATACACACACATTTGAGGTCTTACAAACACACACCCACATACACATGTACTCGGTTAACACCATGCAAAGAGTCAGAAAGCACAACTTTTCAGAAAAGTAACATGTAACATGTCAGAAAATACAAATGCATATGTCAAGGTAGACAACTAAAAACATATACTGAACTTCGACTTTAGCAGAAGTTCATCCTTGACACTATCTTCTCTGGGTTTAAGAAGAGAGTGCACATTTCAATATGGTGGTGCACATTTGTAAAGGCTCTGTTAATGCTGAACCATACAGGTTTTGGAGCAACATATGATGCTAAATAGAATATTTTTCTTGCTTATTTCAGCAGGACGATGACAAACCACATTCTTGAAATATTCAACAGCATGGCTCGGTAGAAAGAAAATCTGGATTATAAACTGGCCTTGCTGCAGTACTGACTTGTCACATATCGAAAATGTTTGGAGTAAGACAAAAGGAGACCCTTTACTATTGAACAGCTGAAATCCTATGTTTAACAAGAATGGTAAAACATTCCAGTTTCTAAATGACAAGAATTGGTCTCCTGAATTTCCTAAATGTTTCCAAATTGTTGATAAAAGCGAAAGTTTACAAGCAGCGTGGTATGACCCTGTCTCAACTTTTTTCAAGTGTGTTGCATCAAATTCAAAATGGGTATTTCGTTTTTCAACAAACAATAACATATCTCAGTTTCAACACTTGTTATGTTGTCTTTGTGCTTTTTTCAATGAAATATGGAGTGTCAGTGTCTCGCAAATCATCACAATATGTATTTATCTACATTTTACACATGAGGTTGAACATATAAAGCAAAGAATACTTCCCAGGACAACGATATGAACAATATCCAAGTATAACTGTGGCTTTTCATTTGTTCAGGCTGCAGTGATGACCCTCCAGTGATCAGGGAATGGTTTGTATACCCTGGAAATCCTCTGAAGGATCCTGACATGGTCCATCCTGTCCCAATCAGTCTTCCAGGTACTATGCCTGCTTGTTTCTGTGTATGATGGTCTGTGTTTTCCTTGGCTCAGAATTAAGACAAAACATGGTTTCAATCAGTACATTTCAATGCACAGTTAAGTCCAGCTAACTGTTAAAGCTGGATAAGGGCATTTAATTGGACTACTGTTCTTCTCCCAGTATTGATAGAAGTATGTCCAACTCCGCTACAGTAGGTTACGATATATCCTGTTTCAGCTATTTTCTATCAGATTTCTTCTAGATGACCTGGTTAACAAGTAAGGAAGAGAAAAACGGGTTATATGTCCAACGGTGTAAACATGGAGAACTTTACAGTTCTGTACATTTCATTCGTACTCTACACTTAACTTTTTGTACAAATCTGATGCACGCTATCCCTCTAATTTATGGAGATATCTGAAGGCAGACGACTTGCTTTGCTACTCATTTATGCTGTTTTGACTTCCCGGTCATAACCCGGCACGAAGACTGAGGAGCATGCGCAGAATGCCTTGGCCAGTTTGGGTCTGATCTAGGCGTATACATGCAAGAGTTAAGCGATCCTGAACCACATTATCTAGATGTGTGAGTCCGACTTTGTGATATTCCAACTTTTACAATTTCAGTTGCACTAATATGTGGACATGCATTTTAAAGTCCACTTTTTGGCGGACTTACACAATAGATCAACTTAAAATTACTACATGGAATGTACTGAATGCAATTGTGCCAGTTGGTGGGCAAAGAGATTGGGAAATGTATTTGGTCATAGTTCTGTCCATTTTGTATGCGTTTTCAATCAGCCAGACCAATTGTGAACAATTCTTCTGTTCTGTGTGAATGTGAAGGTGATCAGCCCAGTCTGGACTTACTTTGGTTTGGCACTGGCCCTGACGTATCTGCACTGCGCTTGATGTCCTTCTTCTCAATTTTTGACTGCCAGGAGTTTTCAGAGTTGCACGGAGTGATTGAAGACTCTCTCCTGGCTGCTCTCTGCCTGGTCACTTACATTGCCCTCCAGGTAAAGTCAACTTTCTCTTCCTTTAATAGTTTTCATTTGGTAATGGCAGCACAGACACTAGAAAGAAAGTGGAGGTCATGGGCCAAACTAAAACCAATGCACTGAGAGCATAACAAAACAAAAAAAAAGTCTATACACTTAATAGGTGGAGAATATTAGTCTGTGTATAATCTATTCTCAGAAAGGAAGACTGAAGACACAAATCAACTACGGTATTTGAACATGCAGTCCATAGAGTTTAACATGTTTAACACAGTTTAACTCATGAATTGTGTAGATAGATGTTCTCTAATATAAGACTAGTAATACATTATCTACACCCTTCTCTTGAGTCCTGTTGGTTGTTCCATTTGCTAAAAAACATTGAGACATCTTAAGAGAAAGATACTACTTTTAATCTCCATCGGCTCGGCTGCATTTCTGAATTAAATGAATTGAGCTGCTGAATGAAATGGTTGAACACAATATGATCAGTTTATTGAGGCATTTCTGTCCAGATAATGGTCATTAAAGCTACTCCTGCTGATTGGTAAAAGAAGTGAAAGACCAAATGTCCTGAGTTACTACTAAACACACAAGACAGCTTTTGATTTGAGATTTACACCTATACTACAACAGTCATTCTGCCCTTTTGTCAACTTGGGATTTAAAGTGAAACATCCCTTGTTGACGGTCTGTTCTGTGTTGTTTTGTTATGGCTTGATGTCAGCTTCTTTCACCCACTGAGTGCCCAGGTTAACTACAGACACTGTTCTTTGGAGCTCTAGCTCTTACGTCAACAGCTGCTTTGATAAGCATCCAGGGGCTTGAATATCTTAAGAGCCATTTCTTAATTCACCATACAACTATTGTTTCCTTGTTTTGGTTGCAAATGTTACACTATAAACATTTCTGCTGTTTGTAATCTTGTTGTAAAGCCTTGTTTTGAAAAACTCCAACTCTGTGATTGCTGTTCAAAGTATCCGAAGAAGCAGAGATTTGTGGTTAATGGTTTGTATGTTGTCTTTGACGTCAATTGATTGAGCTTTAAAATAGAGATTAATCATTCCATCACAAAGTTAAAGCTACGTGTGTCTTTTTGCGGAAGTTAAACAGAAATTATTCTTGATATCCTTTTTTGCCGTCTCGGCAATAATCAGTTCTTATATTGAGTTTTAATGTCTTCCTCATCATTTTTCTATTCCAAGACGTTAATCCCAAATGTTTTGTTGCATATTTCAGAGTTAATGCTTAAATCTAAAGATTTCTATGCCCCGGTTTACCTGCTGTTTTATTTTCATGTGTCCTGTTTTAAACTATTGTGCGTCTTGTTCTTTTAAAGAGCAAGTTTGCATGTGTGTGTGTGTGCTTTAAGTGTGCATTTGTTTTTAAGTGTGCTGACGGGGAGAGGTTCACAGTTGATGGGAGGGGAAAGTTCACAGAGTGAGTGACGAGTATGTGAATGAACTAAAACGCTAACTAAACACATGAATGTAGATTCATTTACACCCAGTGATCAACTAACATGAGGCTGTTTCCTGAGGTCAGATTGTGTAGGTATTTTCATCTGTGCGCAGCCTGTACATTCACAAACAGCAGTATAACACAGTACATTTAGCCTCTTTATGTCCCCACATCTCACCCCAACGAAAAAAGATTGAAGATTTTTATAGAATGACTAAATTGACGATACATAAATCATTTGTATGAAAAATGGATCACGTTCAACCGGTTGAAAATGAGTCATTCTGCTTGTGTGTGTGTGTGTGTGCGTCGGTCTGTTTAGGGTAAAGTGGTAGTGGGTAGGTTTTGTTGCAACATTGCTCCTCAAGGGACTGTGATTGTGGCGTGTGTGTGTCTGTGTGTGAAACAGAGAGAGTGTGCTGGCGACAGCCGCCTTTCTGTCCTGGCTGGCGCTCACCACATGGAGCTATTTACACCAAGCACCCTCCGCCCCGCTGGACACACGCACACACACGCACACACACGTTCCTGTCTTTGTCTCGCTCACACTCTGTGCGTTCTCATGTTCTTCTTCTTTCACACTGGACCACTTTCTCTTTTCCATCCTCTCTTGTCTTGTTGCTCTTTATCTCTTCTCTGCTCTCCTTGTGTGTGTGTGTGTGTGTGTGTGTGTGTGTGTGTGTGTGTGTGTGTGTGTGTGTGTGTGTGTGTGTGTGTGTGTGCGTGCGTGCGGTTGTGTGTGTGAGTGTTTTGTGCACCCCTTCAGTCTTTTGTGTGTCAGTCCAGTGGTTTATTGTCTTCGGAAGGTGAAGCTGTGTTTGCCTGGAAGCAGGTGGCAGGCAGGGCTAGCTGTGTGTGTGTGTGTGTGTGTGTGTGTGTGTGTGTGTGTGTGTGTGTGTGTGTGTGTGTGTGTGTGTGTGTGTGTGTGCGTGTGTGTGTGTGTATGTGTATGTGTGTGTGTGTGCGTGCGTGTGTCTGTGTCTGTGTGTGCGTGTGCATGTCTGTGTGTGTGTATACACAAAATCACTGTTATCAGTACTATCTGCCAAAGGACAGGTGAGAGCAAAACACACACTCACACAAACACACACTCACACAAACACACACACACACAAACACACACACACACTCACACTCACACAAACACACATACAACATCTGCCTGTTAGCTTGCTCTCTGCTTCTTCATTAGCATCGCCTTCTTTTCTTTTTTCCCCTCCTCCTGTTCTTTGTTTCTTCTCATTTTTATTCAGACTTGTATCGTCTTTGTCAGCAAACAGCAGACTCTTCCACCTGTTCGCCCTTAATCGCTGAGCTTTTACCTGCACTGTAAAGCCTGTATAAAGCTTTTGATTTGAGATTTACACCTATAATACAACAGTCATTCTGCCCTTTTGTCAACTTGGGATTTAAAGTGAAACATCCCTTGTTGACGGTCTGTTCTGTGTTGTTTTGTTATGGCTTGATGTCAGCTTCTTTCACCCACTGAGTGCCCAGGTTAACTACAGACACTGTTCTTTGGAGCTCTAGCTCTTACGTCAACAACTGCTTTGATAAGCATCCAGGGGCTTGAATATCTTAAGAGCCATTTCTTAATTCACCATACAACTATTGTTTCCTCGTTTTGGTTGCAAATGTTACACTATAAACATTTCTGCTGTTTGTAATCTTGTTGTAAAGCCTTGTTTTGAAAAACTCCAACTCTGTGATTGCTGTTCAAAGTATCCGAAGAAGCAGAGATTTGTGCTCATGGTTTGTATGTTGTCTTTGACGTCAATTGATTGAGCTTTAAAATAGAGATTAATTCATTCCATCACAAAGTTAAAGCTACGTGTGTCTTTTTGCGGAAGTTAAACAGAAATTATTCTTGATATCCTTTTTTGCCGTCTCAGCAATAATCAGTACTTATATTGAGTTTTAATGTCTTCCTCATCATTTTTCTATTCCAAGACGTTAATCCCAAATGTTTTGTTACATATTTCAGAGTTAATGCTTAAATCTAAAGATTTCTATGCCCCGGTTTACCTGGGCACTCAGTGGGTGAAAGAAGCTGACATCAAGCCAAATCCAAACAACACAGAACAGACCGTCAACAAGGGTATTTCACTTTAATTCACATGTTGTCAAAAGGGCCGCTTAATTGCTGTTTTATTTTCATGTGTCTTGTTTTAAACTATTGTGCGTCTTGTTCTTTTAAAGAACAAGTGTGAATGTGTGTGTGTGTGTGTGTGTGTGTGTTTTAAGTGTGTGTGTGTTTTTAAGTGTGCCTCATTTGAGGAGAACGACATTTCACTCCCATGTATGATGAGTGTTTATGATCAAAGTGTTTAAATCTTGAATATTAAAATCAATTCACCAGAATCCAAGATATTGTCTTTTTTAAAACCACTAGATCGTTGTCCCCATCAAAACCTTTGTGCCAGCGTTACCCACAATGCAATTCACTTGTGGTTGTTAATCTTACATCATTCTATCATGCCCAAATTATTTCTAAATGTGTTTTCTAATATTAACCCTTTTTCTTTTTAAACACTCCACTATTTTGGCATATAAGAAAATACATTCAATGAACTCATTTACTGATTCTTCATGTCAGTCTTATATTGAAATCAAGCCAACATGTTTACTAAAGAGTAAATGCCACGGAGCGGGACAGCTGCAGTTTCAGCTAACATCTGAATAGTGTTGATGAAGGGGCTGTTTAATCACAATTTAAGATGTAAAACAGAGTCAAATTAATAATAAGTGAAGCTTCTACTGAACCGGTTAACCCTTCACCGTAGAAGGTCGGGCTTGTATTGAAACTTCATTCTATATAAAAGTGCGTAGTTCAAACACACTCAGTTGATCATCCGGCATGTCTTCTTGAGAGAAGCTGGTTTCTGGTGGAGTGATAGATCGACACTTGGAGACAATCATTGAAATGGATGAAGTATGAGCAGACAGACAGACAGCTGAGCAGCTTGTCAGACAGAATGTTAGAGGGGCAGACAATCAAAGTCAGCCAGACAGGCTGACAGACAACAGTAGCTGTTGTTGTCTGATCGCTGCTGCATTCACATTCCCTCATCACTCTTCTATTTAAACAGCTTCAGGGTTTGTTTGTTTTGTACACACAACTGGGCAGCCTTGGTTCTGCACTCTGCATTGTTTCTTTGTCTGTTTAGTTGTTGCAAAGAAAGCAGACAAAACAAAACGACCCACACACACGACACTCTGGGATGTGATTGAATTGGTCAGCCATAAAAACCTGTTTTTTTGGTGTGCATGCGTTTATGTTTGTGTGTTCATGTGTGCTCGTGTCTGAATGTTTTCAGGTACAAACTTTGTCTCAAGAGGACGTAGATGCTTACCTGAGTCAGGCTGTGTGTCTGAGATTAAAATCCTCTCAGGAGCTGAAAAACATCAAGGTCAGTTACAAACGCATGCATACACAGACACACAAACACACACACACACCTAAAAAAATATATCTGAAAACTAAAGTTGTTGTTTCCTGTTGCAAGAAGACAATGTCCGTGTGGTTTACAGAAAACTCAGGGAATGTTTCCAGTAATAGAAAGTGAAGAGTAAAATGGAAGGGAAATGTCAACAAGCAGCTGGTGGAGTCTCAAGGATAAACAATCAAACAAACCACAAAACCATTTCAAAACAGTTGTGGAAAAACTGCAGGTGTTGGATACTTTTTTTTTTTTTTTCAGTATGAAAAAATAAAATAATCAGGGAAATCAGAGCCAAACTTGACTTAGTGCTTGTAGGGAAAAACATTGTTTTGATCACCTTGACACACCAAAGCATTTCAAAGGATTGTTGCTTCTGTGTGAAAGTAAAACCAAAGGAAGTGGCAACACTGGAAGCACTACTGTACTGTCAACACTGCCAACAACACTGCGAGCATTGTTACCTCTGTCTTCTCACACAGTCTTCATTTAGCTTGCTTGATATGACTTAAGAGCTCTCACAGATCAGAGGATGGGAGAGTCGGCAGAGCTTTTTGCTGCCTTGTCGGATGTAACCCCATTTATTTTAAGTGCTTAATTACAATACTTGTGTCTAGTAATTTGTATTTCTGCTGCTCATCTGTTTCCTACACAATAATTATGGCTGTGCGTTGATTTGAATTTGCTGACGGGGAGAGGTTCACAGTTGATGGGAGGGGAAAGTTCACAGAGTGAGTGACGAGTATGTGAATGAACTAAAACGCTAACTAAACACATGAATGTAGATTCATTTACACCCAGTGATCAACTAACATGAGGCTGTTTCCTGAGGTCAGATTGTGTAGGTATTTTCATCTGTGCGCAGCCTGTACATACACAAACAGCAGTATAACACAGTACATTTAGCCTCTTTATGTCCCCACATCTCACCCTAACGAAAAAAGATTGAAGATTTTTATAGAATGACTAAATTGACGATACATAAATCATTTGTGTGAAAAATGGATCACGTTCAACCGGTTGAAAATGAGTCATTCTGCTTGTGTGTGTGTGTGTGTGCGTCGGTCTGTTTAGGGTAAAGTGGTAGTGGGTAGGTTTTGTTGCAACATTGCTCCTCAAGGGACTGTGATTGTGGCGTGTGTGTGTCTGTGTGTGAAACAGAGAGAGTGTGCTGGCGACAGCCGCCTTTCTGTCCTGGCTGGCGCTCACCACATGGAGCTATTTACACCAAGTACCCTCCGCCCCGCTGGACACACGCACACACACGTTCCTGTCTTTGTCTCGCTCACACTCTGTGTGTTCTCATGTTCTTCTTCTTTCACACTGGACCACTTTCTCTTTTCCATCCTCTCTTGTCTTGTTGCTCTTTATCTCTTCTCTGCTCTCCTAGTGTGTGTGTGTGTGTGTGTGTGTGTGTGTGTGTGTGTGTGTGTGTGTGTACACAAAATCACTGTTATCACTACTATCTGCCAAAGGACAGGTGAGAGCAAAACACACACTCACACAAACACACAAACACACACACAACATCTGCCTGCTGTTGTTACTGTTAGCTTGCTTTCTGCTTCTTCATTAGCCTCGCCTTCTTTTCTTTTTTCCCCTCCTCCTGCTCTTCAGACTTGTATCGTCTTTGTCAACAAACAGGAGAATCTTACACCTGTCCGCCCTTAATCGCTGAGCTTTTACCTGCACTGTAAAGCCTGTATAGAAAAATAAAATAAAACAATATCTATCTTAAACCATGTTATTATAGAATGATTTATTGAACTGTGGATTTAAATTCCATCACTCCTGATAACTTACCAGGAAATGTAATTAATTGTGAATTCAACCATTTGACCTTTTGCGCAAAGAAATGTGAGGCTTTGGGAAATAAAGCAGCTTAAATTGGTAAATTGTGTTAATAAAAAAAATTTTTTATTTAAACTTTATTTAACCAGGAATTGAGATACAAAAATCTATTTTACATAAAGTGTCTTTTTTTGTTTGACAATCAGAATATTGATTTAAAGACAGCTTTGCTTCTAGCAGAAACCAAGATATTTATATGTTGGGACACATTCAGAATACCATCTTTAACGGTTGACTAAGACCTTAAGAAGAACATCATTTTAGTCTTGTTGGCATTAAGTACAAGTCTTAATGTACTAAGGTTTCTCTGGACAACATTAAATGCTGCTTGTAGTTTATTAATTGCACTTGCTAAGGAAGGCGAAGAAGTATACATAACCGTATCGTCAGCATAAAAATGAAACTTTGCTCAGAAACATTTCTACAAATAGGATTATATAAGTATAAATCATGAATAAGATGGGACCTTTATGGACCCTTGGGGGGGACATCATTTTGTATATTTAAAAAAACTAAAGGTTAAACCATCAACTCTGACACTTTGATTTTTCTACCACTCAAGTACATTTCAAACAATCTTACTGTTTTGAAGAAAACCCAATGTCAGCCAACATTATTTATTAACGGTGTCATTTAATTCAATGTTTGGCCCTAAAATGCAACTAGGCATAGTTGGAGTTCTTGAGGACGCTTGCACTCTCATCCAAAAGACTTCTTTAGTTCAGATATCTGTTATTGAGCACTAATAAGTAGTGAGTAAAACTTGCTCGGAATATATTGGGGTTTGGCTTGAAACTAAGAAAAAGCCAGCAGGGGGAACTATAATAATCTTGACTAATACAAGAATAATAATAGCGTTACGTTACTAAATAAACAGCTACTGTATGTCTCCTTCTATGTAAGATGGAGTGATCAGCTGTGTGTAAGGATCTTTGAGGATCTGCTTTATGCTTTGTTGAACCTTGAGTTTGAAGAGTTTGTTGTCCCATGTAGTGAGGGCAAGTTGAAGATTTGAACTACACGTGTTGTGACAGAAGATGATTCATGATTGTGATTTAACATCAGTCAAACATAAATCCCTCTTTCTTGCTCTGTTCTTAGCTGCCTGTCCTCTGCAGCCGTGCATTGCAGCTGGGATCTCTCTTCGTCCGGGGACTGGGCCACCTGCTGGGTGCTAACTATGCCAGCGGCTGCCCACTGCCCAGCGCTGCCCTGATGCCTTGGCAATGCTTTGATGGACGTCTGTTCCACTCAAAGTACCTGCTGGCACACAACTCTGCGGAGAAAACTGTGCTGCTAGAGAATGATGTGAGTGCATACGGGGAAACAAAAGGGAAATCTGTACGTGTGTATGCGTGGGGAACGAGTTTGAGGAAGGAAAAACGAACACAATTGGATTTGTTTCAACCACTTGAAACAACAAGAACACAACGTAATTTTTTTACATTTTCTCTCTCTCTGCAGTCAACCTGTTTGTCTGTGTTTCTCTGCTTGAGAGAAAAACTCACAGAAGCCTGCATGAAACGAGGCAAAGTCCTGCAGTCCAGACCCAAACCACTTGAGCAAAGTCATAAAACCACACCAGGACCCCGATACAGAGAGAGACAAACAGGTGAGATCTGTAAGTCCAGCCCGATTAGGCTATTTTATTGAACTACTGTCCCAGTATAAAAGCACAAGGGGAGAGTTGATTTATTAACGTAAGTACAGTATGTCTGACTCCACTACAGTAGGGGGCGATATGCTCACTGTCCGCTAGTAATTATTGGACCTTCTCTGGTTGACATATTAAGTCATATACTACACCAATTCGCCATTGAGCATTTTCCTTCTACCCATGTTCCTCAGTATTTGTTATACCTTCAGCTGAAACAACATAGACTGTCTCCTTGTCTGTCTTAGAATACTTGGTTCTCACTCGTGCATTTGCCATGTGGATACCTTTGTCTTGATGTTCTAGGGAACTGTGGAGCATGCGCAGAACACCTAGGACAGCTTTGGGCCAATTAAGTTGTATACATGCAAGAGCAAATCAATCTTTTTTAATATCATGTAAACATTCTGTGTGTATATAATCAAGCAGAGCCATCAGCACTGCCTTCGGTGGGGCGCCTGTAAATGTAGTTACAATAACGTGTCCTATAAATATGCTTTGTTTGGTTCGAGAATGTCCAGTAAAATATGTTTTAACCATTCTGGTTAAATAAAGGTTAGAGAGAGAAAAACATTTTGACCTGATTAAAAAATGTTTTGTTGTTTCTATGGCACCCTTGTGGCATGGTGGTTAAGATTTATACCATGTTACCACAGTCGTACATCACATCTCTTTCTCTTTTTGTTCCCTCTGCGTATCTGTTCCTTCAACTTTCAAATTACGTTACATAGAGAAAAAAAAGAAGGAACATTGTATTCTTTTTGATGTATTCTTTTGGAAGCTATAGTACAGTGATAATGTTTCGGAGCTCGTCTATGTTTCTAATCACTGCATGAAAACAGAAAAACTCAAAAGGCCTCCAGTGATCTCAGTGGCAAAAACACTCGGCAGCTCTGAAATACATCATTTTAATCTGACAATTCGTCTGTGGTTGTAGTTCTCTGGTGCCCCTCGCAGAACCACATTACCCAGCGGGCCGTGCTGTAACAAGCTCCATGTGTGCTGCGGCGGTAACAAATACAGCTGTGTGTGTGCATGCACTCACAGTCACATGTGCACACATCGGAGACTTGCTTTGTCAGTGCACCAGTAATAGTAGGTTTCTGTTTATAGGCTGGGAGAGCTCTATTTTAAGACAGACAACAAAACGAGCTGATTACAGGCTTCTCTCTTGTGCCCCCTCCCCCCATTCTGCTCCCCTTCCCCTCAATCTTTTCCCTCTGAATCAGTCTTTATTCTTTTATTTTCTTCATCATCTCTCTGTTTCTGTTTCTTATTTCTTACTATTGATCTGCTGCATTTACAGTAGAGCTGTCCCAGTCACCTCCCTATCTTATTACACATATATTCACATGTAATCTCCCCCTTTACACACATATTGGTTTGTTTTGCATGAATGTCACAGTCGTTATTTGATGCCGTTCACTGTATTCTGCAGACTTTAAGGCAAAATGAGCTCCCTGTTGATACAAGACTTGTCTCTATAGTCCACAGTCCTGCTTGGTGGTCAGTCTCAGAAGACATCTCAGTTGCAGCTCATGAAATGTGAACCCATAGTTTCTCTTCAACCCATGACTTATAAACCTTTTGGGATTGTTTCTCTGCGTGCCATGTTGGCGCAGAGTCTCTGAAATTGCGCCGAACTGTCTGCTTTTTGCCCTTGTGGGTCTCATGAGGATGTTTCTGGTTTTATAGATGGAAGGCTGTTCAGTCTTTATACCTCAGTGTTTCATTTCTGCCAGACGCAGACACCAATCATTACTACAGAACTGTGGGGATGTGGAGTGTGTGTGAAAGAAAGAGAGAGTGCGTGTGTGCGTGAGAGTAGTGGTGGCGCTATGTGGTACAGTCGAAGGCCTGGTTTGGTTTTTGTTTGGAATCGGGCCTGATGTTTAGTCTCCTCAGCAAATATCTCCTCTGGCCGCCTGCCCTTACAATTACACTCTAACAGTGAATCCAGTGTAGCTGCTCTCCCACGTCTCTTCACTTCTCTGTCAGAGATAATTTGAAAACAACCTCACTCTCAGATTGGGTCACAGTCGAGCTCTGATAAAGAATGTGGATGTTCCTCTTCTTCAGAACTATTCAGTGCATGGCTGAACCTTTAACAACCACAATCTTCTGTTTTTATTGAGCACAGAAATACTTATGGTATTCAAAAGTTTTGTTTTAGCAGTCTGAACATAGGAGAGTCACATTGTGTTCACTAAAATGACAACAAAGGTAAACTGCAAATATATTTCAATTCCAACTTTGCTGGCCATTCATGTTTTTTTTTCTTTATTTTTGGGCTTATTATTCCTTTATTTAGAGAGAGGACTATGAAGTGGGGAATGACATGCGGGAAAGGAGCCACAGGTCGGATTTTAACCCAAGCAGCCCGCTGCCTGTGTACATGGGGCGTGCGCCCTAACCACTCAGCCACAGACGCCCCGACACATGGCTTTTAATAGGTTTTTGATTGATTTTGAAACTTTTTTTGTAATGGAGGGGCCCTTATTGAATCAGCCTGATTGACCATCTCCTTTTATCTGTCCTCTGATACTTTGTCATTTACATGTACACACATTGATCACTCGCTGACAGATAAATAACATATTTTAAAACATCTCTCTGATTGAATGTGTCCTTTTTTTATTGTTCTGCGTTGAATCCCAAACTGAGAAACTGAAACTTTTCCAGAAGACAAACAGAACCACAAAAATAGACCTTTAATAGTGTTGGTGCTGGTGGCCTGTTTGACACATGGTATGCTTTCATGTTCCTGTTTTCCACACTTTCACGCTCACTGAATGGATTTATAATTTATCAGCGGTCTGATTTAGTCAAGCAGGCACAGCACCCTCTGTGAAGGGTCTAAACTTATACTTGGTATTTCATTTCAAGTACTCAGTAAGTAACTTAACATCTGCCACATCTGTCAGAGCTGCTCCAGTTTCTGTGTAAAGGGGCGACTGCGCCCGAGAGGTTAGTTCGCTCTCCCCATGTACAGAGGCTGTAGTCCTTGAAACGAGCGGCCTTGGGTTTGAATCCAACCTGTGGCTCTTTTCCCTCATGTCATTCCCCATTCTCTCTCTCACCCTAATTTCTGACTCTATCCACTCTCCAGTAAAAATACATCTTTAAAATTTTTTTATAAACAATAGCAGAGCAAGACACTTCACAGACGCCCATGAATCTAAAATATGTCACATCTTGGTTGCTGCTGACAAATAGATCTGTTAACATTCAGCCTCAGCAAAATGTTTTTCTGTTCTCTGAATAAGTTTTCACTCAAAGACTGGCAGAGTTTGTCAGATGGGATATGGTGTTTTTTTCTTTTGCTGTTTTGGGGGAAGCCTTGAAATAATTGTGGGCAAATTTTAAAGGCAAGCTTTTAATGTGTGTGTGTGTGTGTGTGTGTGTGTGTGTGTGTGTGTGTGTGTGTGTGTGTGTGTGTTTATCACACTTTTCATACATAGCTCAGTGCACCTCAATATGAATAATATAAGGACAATTAACTATCACCTTTCTCACTTTCAGGTCAATCTTCAGGCAGTGATAAGAACTGGAGGGAGCAAGGGGAAATGACAGGAAACCAACAACATGGTGGAGGATGGAGGGAGCAAGGGGAGATGACAGGAGGCAGACAACATGGTGGAGGATGGAGGGAGCAAGGGGAGATGACAGGAGGCCGACAACATGGTGGAGGATGGAGGGAGCAAGGGGAGATGACAGGAGGCCGACAACATGGTGGAGGATGGAGGGAGCAAGGGGAAATGACAGGAAACCAACAACATGGTGGAGGATGGAGGGAGCAAGGGGAGATGACAGGAGGCCGACAACATGGTGGAGGATGGAGGGAGCAAGGGGAGATGACAGGAGGCCAACAACATGGTGGAGGATGGAGGGAGCAAGGGGAGATGACAGGAGGCCGACAACATGGTGGAGGATGGAGGGAGCAAGGGGAGATGACAGGAGAAAGAAGAGAATATGGAAACAGAGAGGGACAGTGGGAAAGAGGAGGGTACAGAGGAGGAGGGTACAGTGGAAGGCAACATTTTCCCCCTAATCCTCACTCTTATGCTGACTTCCAGGATGAAGGGCCCTACGACACTAGCCGTCATCCGAAACAGTCCAGAGGAGGATCTCATGGCAGTAGAGGAAGATATCATCTGGCCTCGAGGTAACACCAGTGACACCAGAATATAGCTTTTCTGGTACTATTGTTTTTTCCTCTTCAATTCCAATATCTCAATTTATGTATAGACATATACTAAATGTTTTTGTACTAGCATCAGACTTTCCCTGTATATGTTTATTTTTGCTTTCAATTTGTTAATTACATAAATAACAGTTCTCTATGGAGAATATTTTTTTTTGACTTTTTTCCTCACTTGTTTGAGGGACCTTGATGTTTTGATGAAGAAGCTCACATTGGTGTTTTTACCATTTGTAAACGCTCGATCATTTTATATAAGTGAAGGAGTCTTCTCTGTATAATTCATCACTTGTAAATACGTCAGAGCAACTAATGGTAAAGGAATTCTTACTAAAAATCCTGTTTAAGCCAAAATTAGCGGGTGCCAGGACCCTCTGAGAAGTAAATTCTTCTCTCCTGCTTTCACACAGTAGTTACCTGTGGCAGCAAAAACACATTCCATCGTGCTGGTAAAGGCAGTTTTCACTGTGTAGGCTCTTTTTTTGGAGCGATGAAGGATGAATGATTTCATTTGAAGCTAGCTTGAAAATAATGGTATTAAATTTAGTGTACAGACGTATCTACTGGGCAATACCCGATCAATTTCATAATGTCATGTTTCATTCCTCTCCTCTCAGGTGGTCTCGCCCTCCTACTTCAGGGACATAACTCCACCGTGAACCAGAGAGGTGAGAAGAAAAGAGAAGGATTAGAGGAAAAGATTTAAGGAAGTTAATAGGATGGGGAGGACATGATGAGATTAGCGGAGGAATCAAATGTCTCTGAGCAAACTGATTAGTGGATCACTCATCAGGAGTCTTTGTCTAAAGGATGCAGGAGGTAGAGGGAAGGCAATCAAGAGGAGGCAGAATGAAGCATAAGGACCCCTTCATTTGCCTGTTTGGGTTTGTTGCGCATGTCAAAATAATCTTGTGGCTGTAAGACATTTATTAAAAAAGCTCCTCCTTGTCTCAGGGAAAGTTACCTGTTTAACTGTGACAGTGAATGAACAGCAAGGATGAGCACTCTCCAAACAAACACACAGATGACCCCAAACACACTGAGAAGTGGATTAATGGCTAATCCTCAAGCCGGTTTTACCCCTTATCTTTGTCAATAAAAGGGAGAAGATCTTTGAAGCTTTGCTTCCAGTAGCATAATCTTCTGATGGGACTGGTTTTAAGTGGAGGAACAGTATGGCCAGTATCATCTGTCAACTGAACTGAGGCATCAGACACACAGATTATTAGGGACAAAAACAAAGTGAAGGAATATACGTTTCTGTTTTTTTCTTAACACAGAAGAAAGTGAGTTATCTGTTTGTCCCATAAATACAGACAAACGTTTATATATGCCACTGTTCTCTTCTTGGTCTGCCGATAAATTGTCTTGATTCCGAGCCCTGATAAATGATCAACACTTATTCTGGTGTTAGGGGCTTCAGGTTGCATACATTTATTGATATTAATTAATGACTGGTTTGAGTATTTGATCAGTCTTGATACAAATTTAAATGTCTTCAAATAATAAACATGAAAAACATTCAGGGCACGAGTGTCTTGTGTTTATTGCAAATGTAACCTGAAGATTCAGTTTTCAGTGTTAATCCCAAATCTGTCATGTGTATTATTCCTAAAAACACAGGAACAATGTTTAAAGGGATACTTCACCCAAATCTTTGTATTTCTAAGTCTGAAAAGAAGCTTCCAGTGACGTAAGAATTGTAATTTTGCGTCATCGGAAGCTGTTGTGGTTAGCAGGGTGAAACTACAACGCTAGTTCCTCATATTTTCAACCACTGAAGCTACAGACCAATCACAGATCAGTGGGTGGGAACTTACTCTCATAATTGAAACTTAACGTCCGCCATATTGCTTGTAAGCTATGCTAACAGGCTCTATGGAGAAAGCTGATAATGGTGAAAAAATATAAATATAGCGGCGAAACGGCTGCTGCCGACAGGCCGGTCTTGTTTTGGCTGCCGGGGCCGCCGCTGGCCGGCAGCCAAGAAACAAAACAGGCCTGTCGGCAGCAGCCATCTCACGGCTATACTGCTGGCCGGCGCCGGCCGCTGCCAGCTCAGCAGCCGAGACATAAGCCCTGCCTGTCGGCGGCGGTGAGGACGGGGAGCCGGGGCTCGAGCTGGGGCAGACTGGTAGTGTCGGTGCTCTCACTGTTTGCCTGTGGACACAGACATAGAGTCTGTTTTCTGCCAGGAATTTCCAAGATGCTAATCTCGAAAAGAAATCTCGGAATCAGTTGAGGAAACAGCCTTATGTGTTGAAGTTAATATGTCTGTAAACCTGACCTTAGTGGGAGTGGCCTGCGGTTCCGTGCATTCTGGGATTTGGTGTCTTTCATCCACATGAGCCAAAAAGACACTTTCTGCCTTTTCTCAGCCAAGAAGACACCAACTTCAAAATGTATTTTACATTTCTACTACATATATGACCCAATGTCAATACAGATTCATGTTTCAACGGGTGAAGTATCCCTTTAAGTGGATTTTGTGACATTCCAATATTAACTCTTGTTGGTAAACTCAAAGACCAGAGCATCTGTTATCGATCTTCATGTTTTGTTTAATCTGAAGCTTCACTCTTCATTTTGAAAAGAAGAATAAAGAACTGAGTCCAGAAAACATGACCAACATTTGTTTTCTTGTAAATACCAAGTTAAACATTTGATCTGCTTCTTTTGGAACAGCTGAATGTTTTCAGTGACAACAACACAAGTATTTGTGTGTGTGTGTGTGTGTGTGTGTGTGTGTGTGTGTGTGTGTGTGTGTGTGTGTGTGTGTGTGTGTGTGTGTGTGTGTGTGTGTGTGTGTGTGTGTGTGTGTGTGTGTGTGTGTGTGTGTGTGTGTGTGTGTGTGTGTGTGTGTGTGTGTGTGTGTGTTCCTGTAGCACCATGAACACTCACTTTGAAACCTTCCATTGAGGAAAAGGAAAGGTGGGGGGAGGTAATACTCTGACTGACTGATGGGGAAAAATGAGGGGATATGAAAGTATTGATGTAGACTTGACAATGTTTATATTGTGTTTCGCGTGACAGAGCGGAGACTTGCATCTAAATAATTCCAATCCCAGAAAAGGGCTGATTCAGGTTCAGGTTTACCAATAACATAATCCAGCAGAGACAGTTAGAGCATATGAAAGCCAACAATGCAGGTCTAATAATGATCCTGGAGACCATAAAGAATATATATTGGGTTTGGAACACCCAACACCTTATAAGATACAATAACAATACATGCAATGTGTTTGTGATAGATATCATAAATGTTTCTTTTAGCCCTTTGCTGTCTTTGTGAGTGTTATGTTGTTACAGTGAATTAATAATTACTATAAGACCAGGGACATTTGTGTTTACAATCCATTATTGAGAGACATCCTACTCACACACATAGACCCGACATACACAGACAGGACCTTTATTTGTGTAGAGATGTCAGAGTGAGAGGGCTACACACAGAGGGCACTTCTGAACTGTTGGGGGTTTGTTGGCTTGCTCAAGGGCACCTCAGCAGCACCCAGTAAGTAAACTGGCATCCTTCAGCAACCAGACCATTTTACACAATTTGATCCACACCGGGACCCGAATCGGCAACCCCCGAGATCCCAACCCTACACCATACTGGCTGAACTACTGGCACCCTGAAGCAGTTTGTATATATTGTTTTGATCGTGTGAAAGGAACTGTGGACAAGCTTCAACAAAGACATGCAGAAAAATGTAAGTTTTTATCACCATGTTGAACTTTTAAAGGGTTAGAAATGCTAGACGTCTGCTAATGATTATTAGAGTCACTCCCTGTCTTTTGGGTTCTAGAAGTGTGTGTGTGTGTGTGTGTGTTTTCAGGTCAGTAACTGTGGTGAGGGGAGTGGGTGTGGGTGTCTATGTGAGGAGGGGCGACTATGGGTGTGGCAGGCAACGCACATGCATGACTTGGGTCCATTCGCTCCCTCTGTGTAATAACAATAACAGGAGGAGGGATGTTTTCTGTGGTGAAGAGGAAGTGAGGGATGGAAGGATAAGACGAGAGGAAGAGGGAAATAAACAAAGTGAAAGATGGAAATGAATGAAATTGTGGGAGAGAGAAAAACTTGAGAGAGAGAGAGAAAGGAAGAAGGAGTGAACATCAGATGAAGAGGAGTAGGAATAGAGAAAAGAACAAACAACAGGATGGGAGTGAAGAAAGAAAGGCGGTTAATTTAAAGAAAGGGGAGAAGACGGAAGACTTAAGAACACAAGCAGATTGAGTGTAGTCTTGCCTCGACCACAGGAAACCATGTTGGCTGCCCGACAGATCAGCTTCCTGCGTGTGTGTGTGTGTGTGTGTGTGTGTGTGTGTGTGTGTGTGTGTGTGTGTGTGTGTGTGTGTGTGTGTGTGTGTGTGTGTGTAGTGGTCTGGGCGTGGTACCTCCAGCAGCAGGGAGACAAACAGTCAAACCCCCTTTGGAGGCCTCCTGCCTGGGATTGGCTAAGGCCTCTTTCCTCTTAGCTGCTTGTCATTCAACACACTTATTTTGTCTTGCACTCTTTTAACATCTTATCTAATCTTTTCTGAGGCTTTCTTCCCGACAAAGTCATCAAACCAAGCACCCGTTTGTCCAATCGAGGAGATCTGATTCAAACCCTTGTGGTGTGTTGGCCACAATAGCGGCACCTTAATGGACTCCATTGATCACGAAACCACTTCAACAAACTTCACAAATGAAAAAATCCAGCTTGAGGCAGCTTATGTTTCTAAAATCCCCTCTGGACAGGTGGTTGTATATGTCACAAGTGTTTTGGATGCTATACTGTGCTGGTTAAAGATAAAGATCATTTTTCTCTTAATTTCCAGCGGTCAGTTTAAATTCATCATAAACTGAAACAAATTGATTGTGTTTATTTTAAAGATCACACTGAACAAATCAAATACAGCATTGGTTGAGATCAAAAGTTAAGGCTGCAAAATGAAAAAAAGAATATCATCTCTATGATCACATAAACACATTTCTCAACAACTACAGGATGAAGTTCAGTGAAATTTGTGAAAAATAAAAATAGTTGTAAGTTAATCCTGATGGCTTTGCCAATTTTCATGCTTTTTCATCATTTCAAATACTGCATGTTTGCAAGAATTTTTGTGAAATATATTTTGTCATCTGCACTTCAAGTGAAGGCTGCAATTGTCTCAGTTTGGCTCTTCATTGACCTCTGTGTGTAGCCTAGAGTTTATGTCTGCTCTGATCATTAACCCACTCAACAAGTGCACCAACTGTGCATGCATTCAAACCAGACACTGCTTTATTTTTTTACCTTTTCTGTCTGGTCAAAATGACAGACATCGAATTATATATATAAATCTTTCCATCGAGTTATATATATATTATACCTTGAATGTAATTATTACATTCAAGTTATAATATATAATATATAAGTGCATCTGCTATCAGTGCAAGTATCAGCTGCTGCTGTGTCAGTCTTAAAGTTGCAGTTACAGTGTCAGCATGTTCATTTAACCAGTCACTTCAAAACACCCTAGTGTCTAAGTTCAACCTTGCATCAGTCAAAAGTGTTGTGATATGCACTAAGTGAATGATAGTCTCTTGTTTGTCAAGTTCCGAGTATTGTCAAATTACAGTAATTCAGGCAAATATAGGAAGAGAAAATGTACCTCAACCATAACACAGGTTGTTAACACCTCAGCAGCCTACTGTTACAGAGTGTAATTGTTATTATTATATAGTGACAGACATGTTATAGTCAGTTAACAAGCACCTTCAGTTCAAGTGTTACCATGCAAAACCTCCCAATTGGTGTTTTTACTTGAACTTCAGGAACACACAAAAAAACTATGAACACATTTTTATAAAACATATACTGCCAATCAAATTTGGACATTTTTGATAAAAATTAATATGTGCAAAAATGCATTGTTGCACTGAAAAAGACATGCAAAGTTTGTTTTCTAATTTGATTCTATGTGACTCTGTGTGTGTGTCTGTGAGTGTATTGTGTATGTGTGAGTGTATTGTTTGCGTGTGTATGTGTGTGTGTGCTTTTACACAAGCACACACAAAGAAAGAATCCTGGCCACAGCACCAGCTCTGTTATTTTGTTGTTTTTGTGTTGATTTTACAGACACACGCACCAAAGTGAAACAGGCGTCCAAAAATACACAAAACCATAGTGACCCAAAATAACTCTTCTGTATTTACACCAGAGACTATAAATATAAACTGCTTTCTTTAGCTGAGGCCAAAACACAGAGAACAACTCCCAGAGCGCTGTGTGTGTGGGTATGTGTGTGTGTGTGTGTGTGTGTGTGTGTGTGTGTGTGTGTGTGTGTGTGTGTGTGTGTGTGTGTGTGTGTGTGTGTGTGTGTGTGTGTGTGTGTGTGTAACTCCTGTCACACACACAGTCCTGTAGAGATAAATTAAAGGAGGTTTTTCGAAGAAAGAAAGAGAGGAATAAAATGAGAAAACTGAAGAAACATATTGAGAAACTTGAATGGACCTACTCCAAGCTTTGTGATTAAAACATAAATGTGTAAGCT